CTCTGCTACAAGCCTACAAGGCGGGAAGCCTTGACGTCGCTCCGTGATCAGATTGATCTTCTCTCGAAGAGGAGGGGACAGCCTCAGGCAGGTAGAACGAAGATTTTATTTACTTATTTATTTTTGTTTTGCTTACTGAAATGAAATCTTGTGCTGTGATATTATCTAATGACTAAGGATGCATACCTCTTGCGTCATGTACAAATATAATTTATTCTATTTATGATTTTATGTGTTGTGTTGTACTCTATATTTTGCTCTTGTTGGAAGCTCGAAATAAAATCTCATTTGTAGCTTACTGGCAAGTTTGTTAAATTCATTGTTAAATCTTTTCAAATTCTATTTTAAAATAGAATTAGGATACGTTTAAATTAGAGTTTGGATGGGTTTGGTAGTAATTTAATAAAGGGAGAAATGCTTCCAGCCCTCAAAACCTAAAAAAAACATGCTTCTCATCCCCAAGACTTTGTCAACGGGTGCTTTGCCCCCAAAAATAAAGATTTTGTTCTCTGAGCCCCCAAAACACAAAACCCAAAAGATTAAAATATGTGAAAATCATAATACCCTTCTCTCTCTCTCTCTTTTTATCATGATGTACTAAATGATAGTTGAAATGATTGATGGAGATTATTTTATTATTTTTGTTTTTTATTATTTTCGTTGTTGATGAGGGGAACTAACTATTTGTATTGGGAGATTGTTAAAGTTGCGGGTTAATTGTTAAGGTTACGAGTTAATTGTTAAGGTTACGGGTTAATTATTAAGGTTATGGATCCCTTCTCTATCTCTCTCTATCATGATGTTACTGTGATGATGTTGAAATGATTGAAGGGGATTGTTATTTTATTATTTTTTATATATATATATCATGATGTTACTGTGATGATATTGAAATGATTGAAGGGGATTGTTATTTTATTATTTTTGTTTATTTATTATTTTCGTTGTTAATGAGGAAACTAGTTGTTTTGGTTTGTATTAGGAGATTGTTAAGATTACGGGTTGGTTGTGAAAGTTATGAGTTTAATTGTTAAGGTTACGGGTTTAATTATCAAGGTTACGGATTTGTGGTTAAGGTTACAGGTCGGTTCTTAAGGTTACGGGTTGGTTCTTAAGGTTACGGGTTTAATTGTTAAGGTTACGGGTTTGTTGTTAAGTTTACGGGTTGGTGGTAAGTTTATGGGTCGGTTGTTAAGGTTACCGGTTGGTTGTTAAGGTTACGGGTTTAATTGTTAAGGTTACGGGTTTGTTGTTAAGGTTACGGATCGGTTGTTAAGGTTACGGGTCAGTTGTTAAGATTACGGGTTGGTTGTGAATGTTACGGGTTTAATTCTTAAGGTTACAGGTTTAATTGTTAAGGTTGCAGGTTTATTGTTAAGGTTACGGGTCGGTTGTTAAGGTTACGGGTCGGTTGTTAAGGTTACGGGTCGGTTGTTAAGATTATAGGTCGATTGTGAAGGTTACACGTTATGATATATATGTATATATATTTTGAGCGGAATGAATACTTTGGGTCATTTGGCTTAGTGGTAAAGTTTGGGAGTTTGGACAAGAGGTTAGGGGTTCAAACCTCTACAGCCATAATATTTTTAGAATATTCGTTGTTAAGGATAATGGTTGATTGCGAAGGTTACGGGTTGGTTGTTAAGGTTACGGGTTTGTTGTTAAATATTAAGGGTTTGTTGTGTAGGTTAACTTCACAACCAAAACATAACATTCACAACCAACACATATCTTTAACAACAAACCCGTAACCTTAACAACAAACTCATAACCTTAACAATTAAACTCGTAACATTAATAATTAAACCCATAACCTTAACAATTAAACCTGTAACATTCACAACCAACCCGTAACCTTAACAACCGACCCGTAACCTTAACAACAAATCCATAATCTTAACAATTAAACATGTAACCTTAACAATTAAACCCGTAACATTCACAACCAACCCGTAACCTTAACAAATTAAACCCGTAACCTTAACAATCTCCCAATACAAACAAAAACAATTAGTTTCCTCATCAACAATGAAAATAATAAATAAATAAATAAATAAATAAAATAACAATCTCCTTTAATCATTTCAACATCATCACAGTAACATCATGATAAAAAGAGAGAGAAGAGATCCATAACCTTAACAATTGACCCGTAACCTTAACAATTAATTCGTAACTTTAACAATTAACCCGTAACTTTAATAATCTCCCAATACAAACAGTTAGTTCCCCTCATCAACAACGAAAATAATAAAAAATAAAAATAATAAAATAATCACTAGTAGAAAAACGAGCAATCTAGACGGAAATTTCCGTCTAGATTGCTTCATTTCCCATCTAGGTTGGTACACTTAGACGGACTTCCGTCTAGTTTGCTCAGTCTATTCTGATTCCGTTTAGGTTGGGGCAAACTAGACGGAATTCCGTCTAGATTGACCAACCTAGACAGATATCAACCTAGACGGAAGTAAGAAATCCGTCTAGGTTGCTACCTAGACGAAAATCCATCTAGGTTCGCAACCTAGACGGAATTCTGTCTAGGTTGCTACAGTAACAACCTAGACGGATTGCTACAGTGGCAACCTAGACGGAATTCCGTCTAGGTTGCTCTGCTACAGTAATTTTTTTTTTAGAATCTACATTGCACGCTATATAATATTACATATACACAATATTGCATAACACCAAATCATATTCATATCCAACACAATAGATCTAATTATATTTCAATATCAAATATAATTATATTCAAATAATACATTCATCAAAATACTAGAAAGATACATAATTTTTTTACATAGATTATAAAGAATACAATTGTTTACATAACTTGAAGAACTTTGCATAATTTATAGAATCCAATTACATTTACTCCTCCAAGTTGTTGAAACATCATGTTCCTTCCTCCTTGTTCCTACATTATACAAAATTCAACATCAATTAGTCCATGCCATGAAATACACTTAGAAAGCATCAACTTTGTAGAAGAACTAATAGGGAAATCAAAATATTGGATACTGGACTAACAGCAACATTGAGAGCAATCCATGTACACATTCTGAGCCTTTTTTTTTTACAGCTGATTTCCATTTCATTATATGTATATATTACACCAGCTGTTGTGTCATTGTGGTTTTATAAGTGTGACTTAAAATTTATGTGCCTGTATTTCCTGTTAGCAATGCATTCATTTCACTGTATCCATGTCAATGCAATATATGCCAGAAGCTAGACTTGTATATCACATTACCCAATATAAAAACTAATGACTATGCAGAAATTGAGTGAACTGGCAGGTGTTCATAACATAGCTGCAATATGTCTAAACGAGGGAGAGGGTTGGATATACAAATTTTGAACAGAGTAATGCTTACTCGAGGAGAAAAGAAAGAAGAAAAACTAATTACCTTCAAAGACGCTACAACATCAGACACCTCACTCTTGACATTGTCAGATTTAGTGCTATCAGATGCATGAGTAGAAGGCTCCTGGAAAGCATGCCAAAGTAAGTCATCAAAATAATCCCAAATGAATACTTTCTCCAAAATAATAGGAATTCACTAATTGCATGCCAAAGTAAGATCAATCTTAAAGAATCCACATCACATACTTAGCATCAAAGTTCACTAAAAGTAGTAAATAAACAAATAAAGACAAATAAATACTAGAATCATGTCCAAATGAAACTAGGAAAGGAAATTCTACAGCCTTGACGGAGAGGAAAAAACTCAAGTAACATATTTAAATAGCAATAACTGCATGTATGCAGAGATTTTATGAAGAAGAACATGAAGTTCCAAAAGAGTACTATTATTTCAAGAGTACTATTATTTCAACCATTTAATATATCTGGTAGAAGTTCCAAAAGCAGACAACATTCTTGTTTATATATAGAGTGCAGATCATAATAAATGTCTAGGCTAGCCATCCAAGTAGAAACAACTATCTTGCTTAAGAATGTGGTGATAAAGCCACAACCTACTCGTGTATCTTTCACATTTGATCCCTATATCAATAGGGACCTATATCGATAAAGAGAGAGAAGAGCGAAAGATCAAAGAATAGTATATAACTTGACATAAAACTAATCAAAATCAAATTAGAACAGTATATAACCAAGAACTTCTCATGATAAATATTTTTTCCTTTTACTTTGCTCATATAAGATAGCATGCACCTAATTACTTAATAGGTAACAGCTAAAAAATGAATCTGAAACTCTTTTCCTAGTTACAAGTGTTAAAAGTGCGGAAATAGATGAGATTAGAGAAATTGTAGCCTCAATCGTCAAATTTTTTTCTATGTTTCTTCTTTCAAGCATCATCAAATAAACAAGATGAAAAAATTATCCTTGTCATCTCAATTTGAAGATTCATGATTCAATTCTACTCTATTGATCAGCTATGCCCTTGAAAATAAATTAAAATATGCGGTGTTATTTCCCTATAAAAGTGAGGTCCTGGATGTTCTTTAGAATAATGTACTCCAAGTATCCTGAAAGGACGAGACAGTTTTTTCCTATTAACTTCAGATGTCTAGTCATTTTGTTTTCTTATAAATTGTTTTCCTGCGAGCAAAACTAGAACTTGAAACTCTCTAAGAAATTTAAGACAACTAATGTTAGATCAAACAGATCAACACCACCATGATATCTCAACACACAGTATCCAAGAAACTCTCTAATACATGAAGTAATATATCGTTCATAGCAAAATCCTTCCACGATCAACATTGCACATTATATCTGAGTTTATGGATATTCATCCAATAGAAATTGCACAAGGCCAATAAACACCAAAATATCTATAACCACATTAAGAAGCAAACAAGTCACTGTTTTTCAGCAGCATTCACCCAGAAAATTGAAATATGGCAGTCAATTACCTGAATCCTATTCTGATGAGTGAAATTCGAGACAACCCAATGCACCAACTGTTAGATATTTTGTTAACAAAAGGCAATTTTGCCTTCATGAATTATAATAAATTTGTAATTAAAACATGCAATTAAAATATGTGTAACGGATATATAATTATGGGGAACGTTACAAAATTTATGATGAATGTTACAGAATTAATTACGAGTTTTGTAACGTCTTTTCCAACCCTATATATATATATCCATATGTTGAGCTCAAAATATAAGGAAAAATATACAACAAGTTTCTCTTGTTTTTCTTCTCTCCCCTACATATTATTTTCATCTACATCTTAGTTTTATTTTATGGGCAACTTCCTTCATCTGAGTTGAAGCTCTGCACTCTCGCCCGAGTGTAGAGGCCGGCCGTTTCCGGGGGTTTTTACCGCTAGGGGGAAGGGAACCATCTGCGCCAGGGCGATAGGCGGGTTCTCAATCTTCTAGGGCAGTGATTACACGACTGCTCCCGTTCAGACCAGTTTTAATTGTTTAATTTTTTGGATTTATCTACATGCTATAATCTTAATTATTTGATAAAATTTCCAACAATCTAGAAGATTGAGATATTTATAGCTTTTGATTTAAATTCGAAAAATTATCTGTTACTGTTCATTGGAATAATTTACTGCTCATCATAAAAAAAAAGTTCATCTTTTCTGTTACTGTTCATTTAGATCTATTCATATATTTTTGCTGTTAATTTTTTTTTCTCTAAAAAATAAAAATAAAAATAAAAATAAAAATCGATTATTGTTAATTGCTTATCTATTAATTAATATTTTTTAAAAAAAAAATCGGTTACTGTTCATCAAATTTATAAATGCAGTAATTAATTGTTAATTATTGTTGCTAATTAATTTTAACAGTTAATTGTAATTAATTGCTTTAATTGTTTTATCAGCGGATAATTAAATCCAAAATTAATTTACATGACAAATAAAGTGAGATATTTTCTACGCATAATATTGGCGTTCTAGGATTTTTATAACAACTCTTCTCTTGGATATAGTACCTTTTTCTGCTGTTAATGATTGGAAGGTCTGTGTTTCCAGTCTTAGAAAACATCCTCTTGTTGATAGACATACTTCTGAAACCTATTTAGGGGGTTGTTGTCAAGGTGCCAGCAAGCAGTGAAATTTTCTCAATCCTATCACGAAGCCTGATGCTGCGTATCCCTTTTAAGAAGGTGAAGCTTCAATAATGACGAAGTCACCAATAAAGTCTGCCTAGGTTATGATTTTCAGTGTTCTCATATAGTGCCACCAGTCATACTATCAAAGATGCTTGCATGTTATGTTTATTTTAATGAGATCTCTGTTAAAAAAAAAAAAACAACAACAACAACAACTATTGTTGGATATGTTTATTTTATGGGATGAAGGTGAATGATAATTACATGTGCCATGTGCACCTTCTGCATATTGCTAATTATTTTGGTAATTACTTTTGTAGGAGTCATCATCAATTTATGCATAAATGTTTTGAAATATCTGGATTTTTTCATGGTTTAATGCTTTCATTTCTTTAACCTATCAATATGGTACCTTCTATTATTAATAATTCCATACTTTGAAGTGCTTATACATCTAATAAGCTTAGTACAGAAGGTGGTAAAAGTGAATGCAAATTTGTTCAGCAACTTCTGTGGCAGTTGTCTGCAGCAGATGGGTTTTTACTCTCAAGACATGAAAATCATGAGGTTCGAACATCAATAGGTAAACCCCTCCTCGGCCTTATCCATCATATGTTTGCAGTATAATTGCTAGGCAATTTAAATGATTGCAGGAAATAATTTAAAGTTTCTATATACTGTTAAGGAACAAAAACTCATTGAGTGAACCGATTCAAGTTTTCTTGGATTAGTTGGTGTCTAAGGCAAGGTTTAAGGGTTGCGTAACGCGCTCTGCAAGGAACGAGGTACTTAATTGATCTTTGATCAACCTCTATTACTATCCTTACCTGGCTAACTACCCGAGTAAAACTTTAATCTTTTCACTTTATGAGTTTTTGGTTTGGAATAAGAGGACCGGAATTATGAGAAAAATTCATATGCATTTATTTAATTACGTTTCTTGCATCATATATTGCCTAATGATAAATGATCAATATATGAGCGAACCAAATCAAAGAGGTGCATTTTTAAAATTCTATTTTATATGGTGGATTATATTTCAAATCTTCAAATGTAAAGTTCATCATTTTTATTGCATTTTGATGAATATTGCAATAAATGTTCATATGTCTTTTTAGATAACTTGCATTTGCTCTTATAATAGAAGAATTTTAAAAATTTTATGCATTTGAATTATGAAGTATGAAATACATTTTAAGATACGAAAATATTTTTTTAAGATACGAAATCCTATTATGCTCTGCATGTATCTATTATTAATTTCATTCATGTATGTGCATATGCATAACTGCAGAATTTTTAGTTCCACATTAGTTTGAAATGTTCAGATATTAAGGTCAATCTCTTCAGACATAGACTATGATCTTTTATGATCATAGATCATGACCTAATGTCAATTTCAAACAATATGATGGACTAATTACAAAATAAGAACTTGATAAATAAATACAACGCCTGCTAGGCAAAGTTATGATTCTAGACTTTGTAAAGTCTGTGAAAAGAATCTTGATGACCCTTTGACTAAGGGATTATCCAGGAGTGTGGTTCTGGATTCATCGAGGGAGATGGGGTTAAGCCCATAGATGAGGTCACTGACAGCGGCAACCCAACCCTTATTTGGAGACGTAGTCCCAATGTCGGTTCAATGTGGTAGAAACAAGCTGGACTAGTGACACTCGTGTGGAGCATCGACCTAGATATATTTATATATCATTATGTAGCATTTGCTACTACCCCTTCTCTATGATGACGATGCTCTTATGATACAGCTGGTTAGGCTGAGTTTTACTCTTAATAAGTCCAACGCGTGTATTGTGGGGGGTATTAAATAAACAGCTGTAGTACCCTTTGAGGACTTACCTACGTGAGAGGAACCGTGATGGCCGCGGTTAGGGGGGGCTGGGCTAACCCCTAGAAACTCTCATGAGTCGGTTTATTGTGAGCATGGCCTTTAACGCTCAACCCGCTTTGCTCAATAGATGAAGCGTATTGTGTGTGTTTTCATCAATACCTGATTAAAGGGGCCTAATTCAAGGCCTAGTCCATTATGTCCCTCAGGTGGCGATGAACTCACTCAGAAAAGGTTCAAAGCCGAAAGCTACCTCTCCCGAATTCACGATACGAAAGGTTGCCCAACCTATATTTGATTTATGATTTCTTGATTTATTTATTGATTTCCGAGTCTTCAGTCAATATTGCCTTTTGGGGGGGACTGTTAGATATTTTGTTAACAAAAGGCAATTTTGCCTTCATGAATTATAATAAAGTTTTATAATTAAAACATGCAATTAAAAATATGTGTAACGAATATATAATTATGGCGAACGTTACAAAATTTATGACGAACGTTACAGAATTAATTACGGGTTTTGTAACGTCAAAATATAAGGAAAAATATACAACAAGTTTCTCTTGTTTTTCTTCTCTCCCCTACATATTATTTTCATCTATATCTTAGTTTTATTTTATGGGCAACTTCCTTCATCTGAGTTGAAGCTCTGCACTCTCGTCCGAGTGTAGAGGACGGCCGTTTCCGGGGGTTTTTACCGCTAGGGGGGAGGGAACCATCTGCGCCAGGGCGATAGGCGGGTTCTAGGGAACCATCTGCGCCAGGGCGATAGGCGGGTTCTCAATCTTCTAGGGCAGTGAATACACGACTGCTCTCGTTCAGGCCAGTTTTAATTGTTTAGCCAGTTTTAATTGTTTAATTTTTCGGATTTATCTACATGCTATAATCTTAATTATTTGATAAAATTTCTAACACCAACAACCCCTAAAGCTCCCTCTGCCTCTCCCGCACAATCCTCATTATCAAATCCCTCCTCATACTCTCCTGTTGATGCCCTTCATCATCTCTTCTTCCTTCATTTCAGCCATTTCGAACATCTCTCTGTTGCTGGCTCGCCATTTGCACCCATTCCCTCACCAGCCTCACCCACTCTCTCTCCCTCTCACCGAGCCACTCTACCCTAGGGCTGCTGCTCTCGCGCCTATTCGAGCCCTCGGTCATCACTCACACGATTCTTCTAACAAAAAAAGAAAAAAAAGAAATTGATCAAAAAATCGTCACAAAATTCAATTTCAAAAAGTGAATAAGATTGAGAGGAAAGAGAATTACATTGAGAGGTGAGATTTTGACGGGAGGGGTTGAGCCTCAGACTCCTGACTTCAACTTGGGGTTAAAAACAACCAATTCCAAACCAAATAAAACCAAACAACTCTAATCCATCAAACAAATCACATAAAAATATGATTTTGATATACATTTCATCAATACCTTGTCCCGCGATCAGAAGAGGACCTGAGAGGATAAGGATTTGGGGAGTCTCGAATTTGAGAGTATGCAAGGAAACGGTGAGGAGGAGCGGCATCAGAGTTGTTCGAATTGTGATTGGTTAGGGTTTTGTTCGGCTGTAGAAAGGGAGGGAAGAGTTCGCCTTCTTGAGCCTCATCCGGAACAAGCACCTAGCCTTCGTCGGTGACTCGATGGCCCGCAACCAGCTCAAATCCCTCCTCTGCCTCATCTCGACTGCCTCGAGCCCCGAGCTCGTGTGTCGAGATGGCGACAATAATAAATTCCGCCGGCGAGCGAGAGAGAGAGGGCAGGCAGGAGATGTGGTTGTCAAGGTCGGCGTGGAGATGTGCGGGAAGTTTGAGCGGAGGAGGAGGAGATCAAACGTAGAGACGGCTGAATGAAGATAAATTGGGGTTTTCAGAGAGCGGTGAAATGAAAATTTAGGGGGCAAATTGTGGCGCTCGGTCTCAAAACCAAAATATCAGACACATTCCGTCTAGGTTGTCACTAGACGAAAATGGGAACAATCTAGACGGAAATAATTCCGTCTAGGTTGCCTCAAACTAGACGAAATTATATTCCGTCTAGA